CCTTAAACCCTAAACCCTAAACAGTCCTCAGGTCAGCTAGTCCGATTCCCTTTCAGCGCCAGAAGCTGGGTAGTTGTCAAAATGATGGTCCCTTTTGGGTTTAGGGTTTAGGGTTTAGGGTAAATAATAGGTGCCGTATTATAATAAGGACCCAAATAGGGACCATAATTTTGACAACCACCCAGCTCTGATCTTGAAACCAGACTCAAGGGTTTATGGGTGAAGCTGCCCAGACCTTCCAAAATCTCTTAAGTTTAGGGTTTAGGGTTTAGGGTTTAGGGTTTAAATATACCTTAAATCACAGTAGGATCACACATCTACTTCGAAGCACCATTCCTTAATTAAGGGATTTTGGAAGGTCTTGGTCTATTGAGGCATGGAGGCTTTACTGAATTCCTGCGGCAAGCGGCCAGCGCCAAAGTGCCAGTGTCGAAGCCGATGACAGCCCTGCTCGAGCATATACTGCATACGCATTCACATCCCTAAAGGTTCCTAGGTACTGTTATGGGGAATACTTCCCCAAATCATAATAATGATTCCTAATGTAGAAACCCCTACATTCTACCATAGAGGTTATTACTTAGGACCCTTTGGGCATTACGGTCGGTCAACCATTTCCATTTTGCAGCTGCAGGTGACTTCGGATCCGGGAAGTGAAGGCTTCAGTGTCGACAGTTCAGCACTCTAGGGGTTTAGGGTTTAGGGTTTAAGGTTTAGGGTTTAGGGTTTAAAGTTTAGGGTTTAGGGTTTAGGGTTTAAGGTTTAGGGTTTAGGGGCTGGGGATGGGCATCATCGAGGGGCACTGGCCCTCATACACTTCACTCGCTTCTGTAAGCTACAGGAAAGCGCTGGACACCAATGAGGCAGTAGGGTTAGGGTTCTGAGTTGGCGTTCAGGGTTTGGGGTTTGGATTTTGGGGTTTATGGGCTGCATCAACGGCTTAATTCTCGCAGTTTCACGCCAATGCAAACCCTGCAGCCAAAATCTAAACCCACAAATCCCCAAGCACACTATATCAAACAGTATGTTTGCGGAATCCTGGCTTGCGACACAAACCACAAGGATCGCTGTCAACGACATGAACATATACTTTCTACATTCTACGGAACATTGACTCAGGCCACCGCCTCTGCAAGATGTTGCCTGCAGGCAATGGCAGGCGGCTGGAGTCAAAGGCCGTCGGCAAAGCTTGCAGCGTGACCGTAGTCTTTGAAGACTAGAGTAGCCTGAATGGCTATAATTTACCATCGTATGTCTGCAGGGGGGTCACAAAGGGGCTGTACAACTTGCGACTTTTTGCAAAAAAAGCCCCATGTCATGTTGAGCTAGTTCGGGTATTCTGGGTTTCAGCTTCGTAGAGTCGCGAAAAAGCCGGGGATCAAACTCACTAAACCCTAAACCCTAAACCCTAAACTCCTAGACCCTAAACCCTAAACACCTAAACCCTAACCCCTAAACCCTAAACTCCCTAAACCCGAAACCCCAAGCGCCCTAAGCCTGAAGCCAGCCATAGGGGCTGAGACTGAGCCCAACCAGGGCCCTAAACCCAGGGTTTAGGGTTAGGGTTTAGGGTTTAGGGTTTAGGGTTTAGGGCCCTATAAAGGCCGGGACCGAGGAAAACCGAGTGTAGGGTTTAATTTAGGGTTTAGGGGCTCCAGACCTGAACCTGAAGTGCAAAGGCTTGCGAGCATATAGTACAAGGTCTTGGGGCCCCTTATACTGCATCTGTAATAAGATACCCCAAAAATAATATTGGCTAATATTTAGGATCCTACCAGCATATTATCCCGAAGCCACCAAACCTCGACGCTGAGCCCCGGACCGGCCACTGCGCTGCGCCTGGTGGATTTCGACCCGCCCTATGCTAGAGTGGGATGTTACGATTACATATCTACTGTAGATACTCATAGGCCCCATAGTAGTTCCTTTTTGGGAGTACCTAATAGGATCCTAAATATAAGCCGCAAAAAGGAACTACTATGGGGCCTATGGGTACAGCTACATATCGGTGCGTAGCACTCCCAACCTGCAGACTTTGTGCAACAGGGAAGGCGAGTGCAGGAGAAACGCTGTGGATCCAATAGACAACAACAAGCCAGGGGTTGAGGGGTTTCGGGGTTTAGGGCTTTAGGGCTTTATGGGTTTAGGGGTTAGTGCAGCCCAAAAACACAGAAAAGCAGTCAAGCACCGACAAGCGAGCAACAAGTTCGGTAATATAGAGGCCCTCATAATTATAATAAGGTTTCGGGGTGTATAAATACTGTAATCATATTAAGGAACCTCACAAAAAGTATAGGTATAGCAAATAAGGCCCCTAGATTACGTGAACCTCGCGCCGGCCGCTCATGCCTCGAACTTAGAGTCCACACACAAAACGCTGAAGACATAATGGCCTTACCTATAGTCTCCACTGTAGTTCCTTTTTTTGGTTTAACCAATTCTATATTAAGGATGTTATAAGGTAACCCCAAAAAAGAACTACAATGGAGACTATAGGTAATACTCAGAAAAAGGTATTGGGTATCAGTATGTGATACTACAACTAGAACAAGAAACCGCAGGACCATCTCATTCGATGCACCCCTAAACCCTAAAACCCTACCCGAA